AGAGGAGGAAAAGTGTATTTGGGGACTCTTGGTCTTAGAGGTCTCAGTCCCTAGGTGGCCAACTCATTCCTCAGGTCCCAAGGTGAGGCAGAAATCATGGCCAGGAAAGCAGCTTAGAACATTGCAGCAGAAACAGAGAGAGGGACTTCTCACACCACAGACAAAAATATGTACCCCAGAGGCATGTCCTCGATGACCCAGCTTCTGCAGCCACACTCTGCCTGCCTACTGTACCACTCAGCTAACCCCTATCAGAGGATTAATGCACTCATAAGGTTGAGGCTCCCATAACCCAATCATTTCACCTCTGAACCTTCTTGCACTGTCTCACTTCTAAACTGTAATAACAGTAAAAGAAGTACTAAGAGGATGTTTATAGTAATATATGTTTACATCACATTCAAAAATCAAGTCAAAATGGACCAGGGACTTAAATGTCAGAACAGAAACTCTGGGTTGGATCCCCTGCACCAAAATAATAATAATAACTATTATTATTATTATTATTATAAATACTACGATACAATACTGTACGCTTTATATTTTTTACATTTTTATATATAACTAAAGAGGCAATTCCAGGCTTAGCTTTGTAAGAAACAGTGACACTGTTTTCCAGAGAAGCTGCAATGTGTCACATTGCCATCAGCAACTGAGTGATCCGGATTCTCTGCATCCTCTCCATCAATTGGCGCTGCCATTATTTTTATTTCAGTCCTTCTGTGGAGTGGTGGTGTCAAAGTCTTGTTGTAGTTTTAAACTGTGCTCTCTGGTGGCTACTCATATGGAAAATGTTGGCCTATGCTTCTTTCTCATCAGATGTGTCTTTCCCCCATTGTAGCAGCTGAGTCTGTGGAGGTTTGTAGATAGATGACATTCTAGTGGCTTCATTCCCTGAGCAAAAGTTCTCCTTCCTTTCCTTTTCTTCTTATTTATTTATTTATTTATTTATTTTTTGAGTCCTGGCACATGCTAAGCAAGCACTTCACCATCAAGCTACATCCGCAGCCCAAGTCTGTCATGCTGTATTCTTTAAAAGTTTAATTTAAAAAAGTAAATAAAATAAAATAAAAATGCAAATTTAATTTCTTTTTTTTAAAATAAAGAACAAAGGATCACTCAATCTGTCATTTCAGTTCAAACAGAAATGAGTTCATCATGGCTCAAAAGGACAATTTGTTTTGTCAATATTTAAAGGAAGGAAAGTACGTTGTGACTAGAGACACTGGAGTCACCTCCCTGCACTCCCCCAATCACAGAGGGCTCCAGGAAGCTTAGATATGACCGGCCTCCATCTGCTTAGGTGAGACCAAGCACACTTGTGCAGGCAAGGCAGAAGCAGCTTCATCTCCTCTGCAGGACTTCCACCCTCAATGGTTGCTGGGGAATCCATGGCACAAACCCAAGAAGGCAGCTGGAGGTCGAGGTGGCTTCCTGTGTTCAGGGCTCGGCCACCCATGCCATTTTCTCAGCAAGGTGATGATCATTATGGCAGAACCACAGAGCCAGCCTAAGTTAACCAGCATCTCAAGAAAAGAAGAGTGGATGGAACCGTGCTGGGTGTCCATGGATGGACAAATAGATAAACAAAGTGTGGTCTATATACACAATGGAGTTTTATACAGCCCTAAAGAAAGATGAAATTACAGCATGTGCAGGAAAATGGATGAAACTAGAGACCATCGTATTGAGTGAAATAAGTCAAAGGAGGAAGGTTAAGGCTGTATGTTTTCTCTTATAGGCAGAAGGTAGAGAGGAAAAAGGAAAACAAAAGTGGGGGATGGATCCCCTAAAACACAAAGGGAAATCAGTAGAGGAAAGAGACAAAGGGGCGGGGGGCAAGGAGGGAGGGGGAGATGCAGGGGAGTGATATTAGCCCAATTAGATCCTTATCCATTTTGTGCCTACACGAACATGTTGAAGTGGCCCCCCTTTCTCCACAGAAAAGCCCTCTTCACCATGGCTGATTTTAGGACTGTCTGCAAAAGAATCTCTGAGAAAGAGTCCATTGTAGATAAACTTCCTATTTTCCTGTTGCTCTGTTTACTTGGCCACTGGCCGGGAAGATACCAGCACTCCAGGTGCTGGACACCCTTACTAGTTTTTCACAGATGTATCCAGTATAGTACTTTGAAGAAATGTGCAAACAAGGCCTCTGGCCTTGAGCTGGGCTTCACAGAGATGTCTACATTTTTAAGATAAGTTACAGTTGGGCTCCATGGTAACAGCTGGCAGGGGAGGAAAGAAAGGGGAGAAGCTCCCCCCTTCTCAGGTGTTGTTCTTGAAGAGTTAACTTGCCCAAAACAGTGAAAGAAAATGCTGCTTTTATGTGAACTTCTGCAGACTGGGAACTTCTGAGCCCCTCCCCTTACATGCCAGGAATAAAACTCTGAAACTCCCTGAACTCGGGGTTCAGGGGATTAATTGATTATAGCAAAAGCTGTGCCCTCTGAACCTGGCTGCAGCCAAATAAAACTGTTTCCTGCTATGTTAGGTGCCTTGCCTGGTTTGTCCCTACAACAATGTAACAACAAATCCCATCAATATGTCAAACTATAATGCACCAATAAAAAATATGGGAAAATAACAATAAAATAAATTTCAAAAAAAGAAGAGAGGAGGATTTCCCAAACTAACCACTGACCCCCCCAAAATCCCATGACCCAAACAGGAAAATGATATCATTTGGTTGAGTAGAAAAAGGAAAGGTAGGGCACGCAGGGGAAGGAAGGTACTAGGGAGCTGTTTCCTATTGAGATATAAATGGAATTGCTTCCCTCGGGGCTGCAGCATGAAGGGAGAGCAGAGTTATGAGGACAGAAGTTCTTTCCAATAGCAGAGGGCCATTTGGGATTCTGCCCCCCACCCCGCCCCAGAGCCCTTGAATTAATAGAGCTGGAGTCCTGTGGGTGGGAAAGGTGGGAGGAAGATCAGGGGTGAAGTGCAAGGGCATGGAATTTAGAAAGACCTGGCTTCACAGCCAGATCACACAGAGGCAGCGCATGGTCTGGGGCAGCTGGAATCCTAGTGTGAAACCTATTAGATCTATGATTGATCTCCTCCAGGTTGATCAGCCTCTCAGAGCCTACATTCCTTCAAAGGCTAAATGGGGGTGATGGATCTACTGAGCCCATATATAAGCTCTAGGTTATGATTTCTAAGCTACTTCAATGCTCCTGTGTTGATATAGTTGAAACATTGGCAGAATTGAAAACTTGGGCTTGGTGTGTTAAGAAGACTTAAGTATAAAGCCAGATTCCCAACCAATACTCCTGTGCCTGGTGCTTGTCCCTTCCTGTATTCATTATCCTTGACCAAACATCCCAGGTAACACATGGTGTGTGAGGCTGGAATGAGATCAGGTCTGTAACACCCCAGTCCAGATCTTGCATATGACAGGGCTCAACACATGCTTATTCCTGCCCTTCCTTCTAACCAAGTCCTTTCCATCTTCTCATCTCAGGAAAACTCAGTGGCCCAACTAAAGTCACTTACTAAAGCCATCGTTTCACCACCTTAATGTCACTTGACAAGGTGTTATCACCCTCTTTTGGGGTTCTGGCTTTTCATTACTCTAACTAGACCACAATGAATGTCTTCATGCAGAAGCTTTGAGTGCATGACATTGTTTTCCCCCTTTGGGGTTAAACCCCAGAGGTGGAAATACCATTAAAAAAAAAGGTATAAACATGTTAAATGTTCAAACGTTTCTGACACATCCAACAGACTATTTAGAAGCCTTCAGTCACTTAAAAACTGTCTATAATGCATAAGAACACCTTATGCTCCATTGCTGTACAATGAAACGTCCAGGAAAGCAACAATCTCTGTGCTATCACAACCCCTTAGTGCCCAGAGGAAAATCTTGTCTCTTTTTAAACTGCTGGATCATGATAAAATCACCAATTACAAATCAAAGTTGTTTTTTTTTATCCATTTGCAAGTTTTCACCAAGATAGAGAAGTACATAACACCACACACTTAAGTTGCTATGTTACACAGTGATCAGAATGTGCACCATCTTTTAATGTCTCAGACAGCACCTTGGGTTAGGGATTATCCTGCTTCCCTCCTCTACTCCCAGGCTCAGGTAGGGGAAGTGGCTCCCCACCTCTCCTCTAGTGGTGACTCTTAGGAGGGCCATTTTATTGCTGAGGTAACAATCTCAGAAGGCACACCTGTTTGTCCCGGGGTATATGTCCACGATTTTATGAACACTAGGTGGCAGAACCAGAGTAGGGACCCAGTGGGTCTGATTGCAGAATCCAGTCCCTCTTTCAACTCTAACAAGGTTTTGCAGCCAGAGCAGAGTAGGAGACCCTGAGTCAGGCTGGTTCAGGGGAGGCAGTCCTACCTCTCAGTCTAGGAGTAGAGGAAGGAAGTGAGCTGGAGGACTGGGTAGGTCATAAATGGAAGAAAATGATTGTAAATTTGCATTGTAAATTGTAATTTTTTCCCATTCTTTTTTGCTAAAGCAGCAAGAAACCAAATGCTCAGGACATGGCTCTCAAGAGAGCAGCTGCCGCTGAGCACAGCCTGGCAAATAATTGTCTTCTGAAGTCAGAAAAATATACTGAAGCACAGAAAACTCACCCGGAGGAGTACACAGAGTATCTAGGGTATTTAGTTTTGTGAAGTATGAAACATGGGTTTTTTTATTCATCTCTATATCATTTGTCATATTTTTCAAATTTCCTACAGTCAATATGAATTATTCCTGGCGTCAGAAAAACATCATTGTGTTTCAAGCCTGGGTCCTTTGCCTCAGCAGGCAAGGAGCCACTCAGCCTGTGACAGTGATTTGCCTGAGGGGGCAACTGGCGCTCTCCCAGAGAGTCCCCAAGTCCCTTTTCCTCACTTCAGCCTTCAGAAACGCATGGGGGATCTGGAGGTTGAGTCCAGGGAAGCCCTAGCTCCTTCCCACCTGCCTTACACCCACATCCACCCATACTCACCCCCCCACACACCCCACACCCCGCCACACCCATGCCACTACTCACCAGGAAAAGGAAGGAACTGAAGCATCAGGATCTGGGTGTGGAGCCAGCAGAGGCTTGCCAGAGGGTCCATCACTGCCTTCACAGCCTTCCCTGGCCTCCTAGGGACCCAGGTGAGACGTGGCCCCTCCCCTGTCCCGCCCTGTTTGTGACCTCCCAGCCTCTCCCCCCCCCTCCTCCCACTGCCTGGAAAAAAAAACGTTGTTTTCTCCTGTTAGATGGTAAGTGAGCAAATTTATCTTTGTGTTGCATCATCTGTCTGCCACTTCCTGAGTTTTGTTAATAAAAAATGTAAGGTTTTAGATGCGTGATTCTTAGTTCCTGTGGGTCTTCTTTTTGGGAAATTGGAAATAGTCACTTTACAAATGTGGGTCTCCAGCAACTTGAGAGGAATGTGCCCAAGAGTGACCAGGCCAGGTGTCTTTAAGGAGCAGAGGCCCAATGTAAGGATTTTCTTGTACTTGAAAACCTCAAGGAACTTCCAGAAGCCAGGGACACTTAGACTGTTCATGTCATTCCTCTATTTAAAGCAATGTCACAATAAACATCTGTATCAGCTAGAAATAAACCTGGCTAACTCAGAAAGTCAAGGATCTCATATATGGAAGCTGAGAGAAAAAACGGAAACGTAGAGGAGGGAGCATCTCCTGAAAATTAAAGGACTGCTGGACACGGTGGCTCACACCTGCAATCCCGCAGCTGGGGAGGCTGAGGCAGGAGGATCTCGAGTTCAAAGCCAGCCTCAGCAATTTAGGGAGGTGATAAGCAATGCAGTGAGACCTTGTCTCTAATAAAATAGAAAATATAACTGAGGATGTGGCTCAGTAGTCAGGTGCCCCTGAGTGCAATCTCCGGTTACCCCCTCCCCCCAAAAAAAGAAAAAATTGAAAGACCAATAGAGTAGAGGGAAGTGGGGGGAAGAGGAAAGAAGGTGGGGGGATGTTGAGGGGAATTATATTCTATTATGTGCATGTATGAATATTAACAAGAAATCCCACTATTTTTTATAATTATAATTTGCCAGTCTAAAATAGAGTCCCACCAAAAAATAGGAAAAGAAAACAAATACCTTTATCTACTAGTGAGAAAGACCTAATCACAGTGACTGAACAATTACTGGCTTCTTTTCTCTTGTGTCCAAAACCACATGTAGGGAAGCAGGTGAGGTGGGAAGGGGGACTCTCTGGGGCATGAGGGTCTCAGGCTCCTCACATTTTCATCTTCCTTGGCATATAGTGCTTCTTCTCCAGGTCACAAATAGCAACTGGAACTCTAGGCATCGTGTACAAATTCCAAACACTAGAAAAAAGGAAAGAGTGGACGAGGGAGGGAACTTTCCCTAAGCCCCATTCAGTGATGTGTGCCTCAGTGGGTTGGGCACATCACTACAACCAAACACAGAGTGAGGAAGGGAAGGGATCCACAGAGATCATGTCTCCTCAAAGGTGCAGACAGGCTTGCTTCTGTTCAGTTATACCCCTGGAAGGAGAATTTCCAGATCAGAGGGCCTTGGTCATTTGTGACATTGATATGCTGTCGAATTGCACACCAAAATGGCTGTGCATATTTACATTCTCCCCCAGAGTCTAGGAGTATTCCCATTTTTTTCACAGCCTTGTCAACACGATGACCAACCTGGTTGACAATTGGATGTATTTTTTAAATGGTATCCTGGGTTTCACTTTTTATTTCCCTGGTGATTAGTGAACTTGAGCATATTTTTAGAAGTTAACTTGTCCACTTTCACAAATCGGGCTTTGTCCAGGGAAAAGACTCTTCCTTTCTTTCCCATGCACTCCCTCCCTGTCTCCCCACCAAGAATGACCCATGACAAGATCTGGCTCCAGGGAGGGTTCTGAACTGGAGAGAGGAAAGGACAAGGGAGATGTTGGTGGACCAGAGTCATGCGGGCTGGGGAGGAGACAGAGAAGCCGCTGTGTAGGATGTTCTGGGAAATGAGGATTTGCTTCCCAGACACAGCTCATACTGAAGGGCTCTGTCTGGGGATTTTGGGGAGGAGCAGCAGTGAGGGAGAGGAGTCATGTCAGCTGGATCCCTCTGAAGACTTGGCTCGCTCATGGTGTTACAAAGGCATGGAGCCTGAATAGGGAGGGACCTTTTGAACTTCTATGCAACATAGAAATCCCCCATGCACCACTGATTAATGGTGCTGCTGTCACTGAACCCCTCAAGGCTAGGAGATCATCGGATTCAGCGTCTTTTGGAATGTTCATCTTGATGTCACCCAGGTCAACTTCATTAAGCTTGATCTGAAACGTCCTATGATAGTCTCTGATGATCAAAAGCCATCCTTGGTCTTTGGTAATTTCTGAGCCCTATCCCTCATGACCCACTTCCCACTTTCTCCATTCCTTAATTCCACCCAGCATCTCAGGTCCATCAAAATGATCCACTTAATAGCTTCACCATGGGCGGGGAGTGCGCCCAGTGGTGGAGCACATGCGTGTGCACAGCCCGATTCAATACCCGACAAAATGACCAAAAACCAAAACGCTTCATCCAACATCTGGAGGTTGTCCAAGGAGGAGTCCTCTCCAATGATTGCGTAGCTTTGCAGAGTCCTCCCTTCCCTTCCCTTCCCTTCTCCCTTTCTGCTGGGAATCACGCTGGGCCTCATGCATGCTGGGCAAGCACCATCCAGCCAGCGCTCCATCTTCCCATTGCCATCCCCTGTCACTGTCTCCCTTCAAAACCAACTTCTCCTTCCCAGTGGCCCTACCCACCCTGCACGGTCCCCTCAAGGGACAGAACACCTCTCCGTGGAGCAATGGCTTATCCTCTATTTTTCTCGTGTTTCTCAGCCTTCCTCAGCTTCCTTGGAATTTTTAGTTGAAAAAAAATACATTCTCCATCTCATTGTATCTTCTCAGAGACATATTTGCACCTTCTATCATATTCTCTCAAATTCTCTCCCCAGGGGTGGGAAAGGGGAAGACACTGGGACCGCCTGTCCTAGGTGATGTCACACATCCTCCTTTTCCCAATGCTGGGGACTGAACTCTTCCCTGGGGCACATATAGTGGTTTTGTAACTTTACAGTCTTTTGCATCTCTCACCCTCTCCTTGGGGGTACACACAGCTGATTAAATCTGGCTCTCCATGCAACCTATCCAGGCAGGGATCCCCCTCATGATTAGAAAGTACTGGGGATTCCGGTTCAGAAAAGTACAACTAGTGTTTAATGAGACCTGGAAGGATTTGGATTTAGACCTCATCTTATGCCACGGGTTCTCCCTCTTCAGAATCAGGGACCATTCTCTGATTTCAGCGCTCTTCTACCTTACAAGTGGAGCAGAATAATTTAACGACTAAAATATTTGTTATAGTTTGGATCTTGAATGTCCTCCAAGGGCCCTGTGTTGAAGGATTGGTCCCAGCCTGTGGTGCTTTGCCACAGTCTGGCTGGGCACAAATGCCGCAGTCTGGCTGGGCACACAATCACGAGCCACCACACAGCTTGTAGATTCAAACAGCAACTCTTTATTCCCGAACTCACACCAGCCGTCTACAAACACGTTCTGGGGAAATCCACGTTTTCTGCCCAAATCCACGTTCTCTCCCAAATCCCCCTCCACTGGGCTTCTATCTCCAAAATATACTGTCTGAATCCCGTGAGAACTCAAGGGGAACTCAGGCAGCAGGATACGCCCTATTCCCGGGAGGAATAATCTTAAACCTTAAACCTGGAACCTAAACTGGGAACGCCTTAAACACGATTATCTTAAAACTGGGAACACCCTAATCTGCCTTGGTCCTTGAGCAAGGTCACCTACATTCAATGTCGCTGCAACATGTCAGCAACATGGGGTACGCTGGCAAGGAAATTGTCATACCTACTTGGTTAATGGCTCCCAGCAGTGCTTTGGGGAGGTGGTGGAACCCTTGGAGAATAAAATCTAAATGTTTTAGTCAGTTAATTCACTGGTGTGTCTTAAAAACCCAACCAGAACAACTGTAGAGGAGGAAAAGTTTATTTGAGGGCTCACGGTTTCAGAGGTCTCAGTTGTTAGAAATCCAGCACCATTCCTCCAGTTGAGGCTGAACATCATGGCAGAAAAGTGTGGCAGAGGGAAGCAGCTCACATGGTGATCAGGAAGTAGAGAGGGTCCATTTGCCAGATACAAATATATGCCCAAAGCCACATCCCTAATTGTCTCATTTCTCCTCTGAACCTTCTTGTACTGTCTCACACATGAGATTTTGGGGGACACCTCACATCCAAACCATAACAATAATGGAAGGAAGGAAGATCACTGAGGTCATGCCTTGAAGAAGATATTAAGACTCCAGTCCCTTCCCCCACCCCACCTCTCTCTTTCTTCCCAGCTGCCATGAGGTAAATAGACCTTCCTCCTGATGTGCTTCTGCCATGATGTATTATCCCACACAGGCCCAAAGCAACAGGGCCATGTGACCAACTGAAACCATGAGCTGAAACAAACCTTTCTTCCTTTTAAGTGGAATCCCTTAGGTATTTTGTCACAGTGATTGAAGGTTGACTGACAAACTTCTCCCAACTCCAGCACTCCCCTCATATCCTGGCCTTAAATTTCTGAACTCCTAGGGTGGGAGTTGCCTTCACCTGCAGTCTGCTACATGATACCTTTTCTTGTCTTAATGGACACAAGCACACACATTTTCTGACTCCTGTGATCCAGGCAATGCTTTGATTTACCAAAATCTACTGCAAATGCACTTAGAAATGCTAGGTGCTAAGGGCTGGGTGCTCCCACTTGTGAAGTTCTTGCCCCCACTTAACACATGAAGGCTAAATAATGGCCACTGTATGTCAGTAGCTCTTAGAGTTTTGTTTTGAAGCTGCTTCTGCGGCCAATATAGAAACAATTCTTTTCTCCCTACCCGTTATATTACTTGGCAGAAATCTAACTTTAGGGATTCAGCAGACCTGATCCCTCCAGATCCCTATATCAGAGCTGATGTCTTCCGTCATTTGGTCTTTTTGACAAAGAGTACACTGTCACTTCATCCCTCACAAATAGCTTCACCAAGAACAATAATTTGGAGGCTGCTCTGGTGAAGTCCAGGCCTCTGCTGTCAGATTTCATT